ATATTATGACTACCTTCATCAAATGCAAAGCAACTGAGGTTACATCCTGCTGGACAATGAAGTAACAGACACCCTCCTCAACAACATGATTACGGACGTCATTAACCAGAATACAGTATGACAACCTTGTGCAGGGAAAGTGGTGTGTCAATAGACATGAGTTTGAAGTATGGATCAATGTGAGCTCCCTTGCAACTGGAGTGTCTCTTGAGTTAAATGGGGATATAGTGGCGGATGCATGCTAATTGCATCCTGAAAAGGACATTTAGCATATAAACATAGCTGAGTTGGATGCTGTAGTCAGGGGTGTTAACATAGCACTTCAATGAAAGGCAAAAAAGCTGCTCTTGGAAAAACTGGTCAGTGAATATGACTTAATGGACATAAAGTTGGTGAATTCTAACCAGAACCAAGCAGACAAGCTGATGAAGGTGCCGGAGATGGCTCGAAACAGTGAGAAAGGAGACAGAACCAATGAATCTTTTCTGTGCAGCATCAGTGAGCAAATGCGGCTTGGACAAGCTAAGATTGGTACACTGTTAAAGTGGGCATCCCAGCATTGAAAAGACTATACTTTGCAAGGCACATTGATTCCATGATGTCTAAGGCAGCAGTTAGGGCCATAGTCAGAGAATGTAGAGTGTCAGTCCATTGATCCATCACCAGTATGATGGCCAAGAGAAAAGTTAGACATTAATGATATGTGAACCTGGGTTGGGATGGACATCACACATCAAAATGGTAAATATTACCTGACTGACTGTGGACTCATTCGATTAGCAATCGTCAAGAAACCAGTGTCATCAACCATTTAAAAGGCCCTATTTTTTGAATGAAAACCTCCTGCTGAACTTCTCACTAACAATGACACTGCATTCTGTAGCAAACCTTTGAAAGAGTTTTTAGATGGGTGGCAAATCCATGTACCCTTAGCTAACAGGATAGTTGAATGCTAATTGCCGTGAGGAAACAATTCCCAGCGATGAAAGCCATAAACTGGCACAACATCTCACCCTAAGGGGAATAGGTTATTTCAGCAGATGAAGATATCGGTCATCTTATCAACCCCGGTGTGGACTGCCAAAAAACTAATACAGAATTATCCATTAAATTCTGTATTAGTTTTTTGACAGGTTGTTTTTTTGCTTTCACAGTTAAATTCTATTTCCAACCCACCTCCCAACTGTAAAGACACAAACTCAGTCCAAAAGTTTCAAAACCAGCTCCCAGAGCCCCGATTCTTATCAGAAATAAGAATGTGTTTTCTGACCAATAGAGGGGCCAAGAAATTTGTACAACGATTTTGGAGGGAAAGTCCCCAATCCTTCTGAGCCTGCCAAATCTTCATAAATTTGGAGAATCTATGCCTATTTGGCAGTAAGAATTTCGACCACCGTCTGTGAGGTCGACGATAGGAAGCACCTGTCAACTTCAGAACCACTTTCAACCAAAAAAGAGCTACCTACTAATAAAGGGCTGTCGAAAACGAACGTTGGCCCACAATTCAAGACCAATTGAAAGCTGCATCTCTTCACCACTGGACTTCTGTCGTCAACCTACGAATTCACTCAACTGCAAGATTCCTATATCTACCAACAATTTTCCTACTCTACAAGAACTGCGAGTATCTCTAAACCTTAACAAAATTCTACTCACTTAAAGAACTTTTTAGTCGCTCAGAGAAATGTTTTGAGCAAGCCTTTTTTGTTATGAACATTTTCTCTTCCCTTAAAAGGTAATTTTCTTCTCCCTTTTTTTTCACTCCTAATTGTCTTTATCCCTTTCTTCTGTATATGTAAATAAACACTTTCTTTTATTGTTACACACCGAGCAGGAGTTTTTTTTCTTTATTCGTCCGCGCCTAAAAGAGAGTTTGTCCGCTCTAATCTTGTTTTTGACTCGCGTTTTGTCGCAATTTTTTAACCTAAAACCCTTTGATGCGGGAAAGCCAAGACAAACTTTCCCCGCAGATATAATCCGTTTTAGTACCTATTTAAAAGTAAAATATCAATACAAAGAAAATTACTATTAGCAAATGTTTTCAATCATGAATAAAGATTATTTTTCTTCAATCTCAAAAAACCAAAAGACTGCAGTTTAAAGAAGTACTGTGGACATGAACACCCGCGCACATCAATACCAACATTTATTGGCTTTTTTCATTGAATGTTATTGTTATATTTTTCAATCAACACAAGGAAAAAAAACGAGACCAAAAATATCATTTACAAACATTATTTAGCAACAAAGCTAACTGTAGATATTTGAACACATTCCAATAATAAAATTCTTTTGATGAAAAGAAAATACAAATATTTTGTTTACAAAAAACAGTCCAATTGACAGTCAATCCACATGAAGTCAACTGTCATTCGAAAACAGTTTTTTTTTTTATTAAGATTTAAAATCTGTAAGTATTACAGTTATTGGTTTTTAATCAATCACTTGTGAGTTGAAAGGTTTCATTTCTTAACTATCTATATGATTTTTTATACTTAATGTATAAATAAAAAGCACGAAATATTTTAAGGACTAAAAAAGTCAAAATCCTATTTCCTTTAGCATCGACGACGATGCGGAAGTTAAAATCATGCGGTGACCTGAGAAAAAAGTCTCCCCTCAATAATTGGCACCGCCGGGACGATTGAATTTACAAAAATCTTTTTAATAAAATAAAAAAATAAATAAAAAAAAAAGAATATATATAAATATATATATATATATATATATATATATAAGGGGGGAAAATAATCAACTTTAACAAAAAAATTTAGAATTACTTGAAAAGAAATATTTTCATGCCAAACTCGACACTTTTTTTGGCAAGCAGACGATTTTACGCTAAAAACAACAGACAAACAATAGTGTTTTTGTGTTTTTTTACCTATCATTTTGAAATAATGTGATCAAGTCAAAACAAGTTCTAAACCTTTATCGAAGACAAGAACACGGACCCAGAAAATCAGGGAAAAAATAAATACAACACAAACTGGAGAAAGCAGAAATAATTCTAAAATACAGTATAAAAATAAAATACTATTTAAATTGAAAACTGAATCAATAAAATAAAGCAGTTTACAAAAATACACACACTGGATTAAAAACCTAAAAAAGCAAGAATTAAGTAAAGTTTCAATGAATTTCTAGCACTAAACACTTGAGACATGACTAGTGTACACACTGTACTATTGTAGACTGGAGAGAGAGTGGAGCTTAAAAAAAAAAAAAAGAAAGAAGTAAAATTCCTATGCGTTTCGTTGTTTTAAATTATGACATTAACCAAAAAAAATAAAATAAAGAACACGCGGCGCAAATCACAGCCCCTATTTAATATCAGCCATTTTTCGTTTACAAAGTAAAAAAAAAAGTTGTTTTTTTTGGTTTTTTTTCAAATCATAAGGCGTTTTTAAGATAATTTTTATATTTGAGTTCCCTCACTAGCATTTCGTAATTAAAACAAAAAAGCAACATAACCAGGAGGGTGTGTTGCGGGCAGAGGCCTTGAGGCAAAGTTGTATTTGACTTCAAATCGTTGTAGCCCACACACACCTACTAACTTCTTACCAATTGAGAACAACCGTTGAACACACCCACCATTAAAAAAGAATAAGAATCAGGGAAAGGGGGAAAGTTAAGAAGGTTAAGAAGACAAATGTCAAAGATAAAATAAAGAAAGAAACCGGGACATTGTGATCTCATGAAAAACAAACTCGTTTTTTTTTCTCAATATCAAATACAGTTTTCTTTTCTTTGTGCACTTTTTTTTTGGTTTGAAGCTCAATACGGCAGAGTGTCAAAAATGAAAATTTAAAAAAACGAACATTCGTATTACTTATGTACTGCTCAGTTCTTAGAAATAAAAGCTCATTTTTTTATTATTTTTATAAGTAATTCAAATTATTAAATTCATTATTACTTTTTTTAATATATAGAAGTTTCTAACTAATAATTAGTGATTAATTTTAGCTTAAGTTTTAAAAAAAGAAAAAGTATTTTCTTAAATTTAAATTTGCACAAACTTTTTCAAAAAGTATAAAAATAAAATGTGTGTAGTATCTCTTTTGATAAAGAACGATCGCTTCATGGCAAGAATTTTATAATTTTTTCCGAAAAACTAAAATTATAGGCAAATTTCCTTTCCCGTTAATTTTTGTCTTCTTTCAATTTCTGTTATTTAATTTCAACTAAATCTGTCTAAAAAAAGTCAAAACATTTGTTTCCATAAAATACTTTAAAAATTAAAAAAAAAATTTAATTATTTAAAAAGTTTTGATAACCAAAAAGACAGTACAACTAATTCAAACTTCGGTTTTAGGAAATTCTTTTAAATCCGGTACAAAATAACAGACTTAAAAGTTCTTTCAACTAAATTTAATTACATAAATTATTTATTTTGAATCTTGATTCTCAACAGAAATTGTCATAGTCAGTTGGCGACGATTCTTTATACAAGTTGTTTTTGTTTTTTGATTTTTTTTTTTTTTTTAATAAAGACACCAAATCAATCATGTCAAAGATATTTGTTGGTTGATGAATCGTGGGAAAAGTAGACTAAGTATAAAACATCAAGTTTAAAAATAAAAACGAAAGTAAATAAATTAAAAATGAAATTCTCAAAAATGTAACTCGAAACTCAAAAGATAAAAGTCCGGCCGTGCATCCGAAGTGGGGATACTTTTTTAATCTTCACTTCAAATAAGAGAAAAGGCAAATTAATTTATTTTTTAAACATACGTTGACAAAAAATTCATACCGTGTTTTTGAAGTAGTTGTTTAAAAAAAAAAAAAAAAAGACAACCAAAAGGTTGTACATGTCAGAGGTTAATTAACTTATAATTTTGGTAAGAGTGCATCCAGTGAGGATCGAACTCACAACTGTTAATCTACAAGTCCTGCCTGCTGACCATTTCACCACGATAATGACAACGAGCATCGAATTAGAATTTGACCACGTGTAAATAATTTCAATGTTTGTTGTTATTCTATACAATGCTTCTTACCTGAACCATAGAAGTTGTTTGAAAAGCGGTAAAGACCAACATAAAAGAAAATCCCAAGACGATGACATTGAAAAGACGATAGTCTAGACAACAACATTTCCAACAACATTCTACAAGTGACGAACGACTCTGTGATGTTCTTCTTGTTGTTGATGTTGTATCGACATCAGTGTTTTCATCCATTTCGGTTTTCTTCTTGCTGAATGGCCGAAACTGTTGATGTTGCTATGTCGAAGGAAAAAGATTACACTGCTGAACGAGACACACGTTTATGGGTTTTTTTTGCGTGTTTTTTTTCTTTGTTGTTGTTTCTTTTTTTTTTTTTCTTTTAGCGACTTTTTTTTTTTGTTGCTCTTCACATGATGAGAAACTGACACCGCCACAAACAGCAGCAGCCATGAAGCGGAAAGCGACGGAAATTATCGAAATAATACGATATGTCGATTTTCAAAATTTTATATCAACTTTAGGAAGTATAATTTTTAATTATTTTGTTTGTTTTTGTATGTTTTAAGTAAATTACTCGTTCCTTTCTTTTAGTTTTTATTGTCTTTTTCATTGAATTTCTCAGGGTTTTTTTAAACCAAGACAAATGATAATTTTTTTTTTCTTTACGTGGTTTTATTTTTATTTCTCCTTTTTTTCGTCTTCTTCCTTGTTTGGATTGTAATAGATTTTCTTTTTTTATTATTTGATAAAAAAAAAATAAATGAATTTGTCGTCCTCGTTACTGCTTAAGTACCTTTTTCCGAAACCAATTCTACGAAAAAAAGGGTAGAACTAGCAGATCGGTTTTCTACGACCAGAAAAAAAATTTCTTCCTTTCTTTCTGTATCCATAAAAAAAAAAAAAAAAAACCAAGTCATTTACCCAGTTTTACTCCTGGTATATTTTATTTTCCCTTCCAACTCTAACTTATTGTCTTACTCTTAATGATAATCTTTACTCAACTAAACTAATTTTGCCCAAATTGTCGGGATTTTAAACCTGACTGTTATGGGAAAGGGAAAGTAGAAAAACTATAATGGCAAGTGAACCGAAACTCAGCGCAGAAAGAAAGAAATAATAACGAATTCTTACTTGTAACTGGCGTGTTCTCGCGGTGACAATCGTTTATGTCAAAAATTGCAAAAAAAAAAAAAAAATCACTACATGTTGCCTACAAATAATTCTCAATGTAGAGGTAACATTTAAAAAAAAAAAAAAATTTGATAACACACCCAGTCAGCTTCGAAAGAGATAGCAAGGTAATGACTTTTTTTAGCAAGATTTTATATCTCTCTTCGAAGACATATGCAAATTTTGATTTCCCTCCAATCAGATGGGGGTCGACTGCATCTCATGTCTATAAATTTTCTGTGAAGATGAAATAATTTTTTTTTTTTTTAGTCTTATTTTCGTCAAAAGATAACAGTTGCATTCCCTCATTTCTCCCTCTCCACAAGAGTTTTGCCAAGGTATGTGCACAAAGTTTCCACAAAACTTATTTAATTATTTAAAAATTATACCACCCTACTAAATATTTTATGTCGTCGTAGCCAATAGGATAAGTCGCTTGGATAAGCCAGAATTTGTTAAGACTTGGATACGGTGTTTTACAGCCTAGACTAGGGCTAAAAAATTGAAAGACCACCAAGCAAGAGGGGGAGAAATGAAATAACTGACCTCTTGCTTCAGCTGGTTGGGAAGCTATAATGAACATTTCTGTTATGGTACCACAAACAATTGGAAAATTTGACTTTCGTCGAAAATTTCAGAAATTAAAAAGAAGTTGACTACGGATCACGTGTCGTAGAACAACATAATCATTTATTATTATTATTATTATTATTATTGTGTCCCTTCAGAACATTGGTGATTATGGCTCTCCACAATTTCCTGTCCTTTGTAGCTCTTAATAAATTTTGTATCTCCTAAAACTCCATTCAGACAGGTAGGTTGTTTTCCTCTGTCCCTCTTGCCTTCAGACTGTGCTGTGAGTATCAAATTTGCAAGCCCTCTTTCTTCATTATGTGTCCTAGAAATTCCAGCTATCTTCCCCTGATGTCAAATATAAGTGTCCTTTTTGTTTCCATTCTTACCTATCCTAAGTTACTTCTGCATAAACTCTTGTAGTGAAACGACATTTCCTACTGATACCTTACAGCGTGCCCGGCAAACGGAACTCTGGCCTTATAAACGTAAACGAACGTAAATTACGTTTTAATAAATTACATTTATGTCTATTGGTTTACGGCCATATCACGTTGAAACGTCGGTTCTCGCAAGATCACCAAAGTTAAACAACGTTGAGCCTAGTCAGTGCCTAGATGGGTAACCGCTTAGAAATCTTGGATATGCGGGTGGTGCAATGGATAATGGCTAGGAATTGAAACTCGACCCTCCGATTTCAAATTCCAGTTGGGCTCTTTATTTCCCTACGCGCAAATATCCTTGGGGAAGGTATGAATCACCTCTCTTCCCCTAACTATTGATTAATTAGTAGGACTTCTGTCAGTAAATCATTATTATCTTTACAAAATTCTTACAATCTAAAAATATTTTCTAGCTTTAAATAACCCGGAAAAGGTTGATAAGCCGTAAAATACAAATCAAACAGTCAATGTTTATTTATAAGAGATAGTTAATAGACTTCAACGAAGCTTTTGTTTTTGTCATCACTACTGGACTCTTTTTATCATATTTTTAATGCTAGGAGTAGAGTCACCATTTTCAAATTCAAAGAACTTTCTGCTACTTAATTCTGTGTGTTTAAATATTAAATTTATGCTAAATCTCCCAATACCATCCGTTGCATCATGTAACAGGTTGGCTGGAGGCCTTTTTTCTCATGTCCTCGGTTATGTGCAGATATTGACTTGATAGAGTTTTATCCTGGTAACACGGTACCATATGTATCATGTTGTTTGGGGTGTAGTCAGCTCCTTGTCACGATATTCACTTACCACTGGCTGTTCTACTGCACCAGATATTACTGGGTGGGTCGGGTAATTCGTCAGTATCAGCCGACTACGTTATACTGGAGGAAAAAAAGTGCCAACAAAGCTGGTAGATTTCTCATTCCCGCTTCGCTTTCCCCGTTCCACCTGCCTTTTGACGGTGATCGCCAGTAGTTAGACCCGGATTCTGTCGTTGTGTCCCTGGAGAAAATCAATGAAATCGATCTCTCGTAGGCCGTGGTAACCCTTCGCTTCTGGTTGCTGGTTACGGTCGAGTGAGGAGGAGAAAAATTATTTGATAAACGAACCAAACGCGTTCTGTAAACATAACAAAAATTAATGGGAAGAGAAAAAAATTAAGTCCACAGAATTTAAACGTTTACGAGATGACGTGTGAGTGTTGTCTCGGTATTCTGTGTGTTCGGCGAAATAGGGGCGTGTACGAACCTGGTTCGTTTCCTCCCCTCACGGAAAATGACTGCCAGACGAAATGTGGCATGGTTTTTATAGGGAAATCTTTCCCGATAACGATGATTAATGACTTCACTTCACCTAGCCAAACCCCAGAAAATGACAATTCACAATGCCCATAACTCAAATATTCCCGTAAATTAATCAGATGGCTTTCTTACTGGTGAATGATAATTATAAAAATGGCAGACGATTGTTGCAGAAAAGGGGCATCTGGTTTCTCTTTAGTCCTCAACTTCAAATTAATTTCGTCCTTACTAGTTTTCAAACCTTGTACTAACCCTTTTCAAACAAACCCCTTTCATTAAAAAAAAATATATATATCCAACTGCAACCTATCAGCACACTAATCCAGTTCCGACCGAAAAGTCTGAACTTGAAAATACATTAATCTTACTTTATCAACTATCAACATAAATTCTTATTTCCTTCTTCCGATTTCTTGTCCTGGGTTCATAAGCTCTTGAAGTCAGAGTTGAATTTGCCAAACCATGTTTTAATTTTCTGTTTATTAAAATTTTAATCTTCAACCACCGTTTTTACATTTCTACTTATAAAACGTCATTACTCTGTTATATCATGTTAGGGAAATCAAAGAAGTACCTTTGAAATACTATCCTGCTTATAAAATCATATAAAATACAGAAAGGAAGACTAGTCAGTATTTAAATACTTATATTTCTTTTCTTGTTTACCACGGGAAATAAACATTTTTCGACAAGATCATCACTAAGTAAAACAAATTCATTTTAAAACTCAAAAATAAAGAAAATCGTGGCAAAATTCAGGAATTTTCAACATCTTGACCATTTATTATTGAGTGATTCTTATGTTTGAGATTCATACAAATACAAATAACTAATGGCTATGAATCTTCTATGGGTTGAGTCCCTTCAGGAAGAAAGCCATCATGGATCTCCACAGCCTCCTATCCCTATCTTAGTAATGTTTGTATTTTTACCATGCCTCCCACTCTCCATTCTGTCATCATGTCAGGTACGTGACCCACTACCTCTTTTTGTCCCTTTTTGCCCTTCGATATATCTTGAGAGTGTTAAATATTCTAGACTTTCCTTCCTCGTTACATGTCCCAGAAACTTAAACCTATATTGAGCAGTCCCCTTTATAAATATACAAAAATTTAAATACGATTAAGAAATTAATTAAGAAATGTGCTCTTGAACTGGTTCCTGCTCTCTAAACACTACAATAAATGATGTGTTGCTTCATGCTTTCCTAACTGTTGGAAATTGTCTTCTGTAGTTCTTGTCTTTAAGAATTCAGGTAAAACTTCTCATACTTCTGACTGTCGGCCTATTAGCCGTCTACCTCTTTTTGGTAAAGTACTAGAGGCTCTAATCAACATTGAATTAGTTAAGCATCTCACCTAGTTAATTAGTTAAGCATCAGGGTCTTTTTTCAGATAAGTAATATAGCTTTTACTTCTCTAAGTCAACTGCTGATGTATTAACGATTATTCTGAAAGAGTCTATGAAGCTTTATCTAAAAATGGTGAAGCTTGGTCTGCTGCTTTGAATATCTTGAAAGCATTTGACAAGACTTTGGCATACTGGTCTTCTTCCCTAGTATTTCTGGACGATTTTTTAACTAATTCAGTTTTTCTGATCAAAT